CCATAAAAGAATCCACACAGGGGAGAAGCCATATAAGTGTATGGAGTGTGGAAAGAGCTTTATTAATAGGACTGGTCTTACTTCCCATAACAGGATCCACACAGGGGAGAAGCCATATAAATGCATGGAGTGTGGAAAGAGCTTCAGAAGAAGCAGTCACCTTATTGCCCATAAATGGACCCACACAGGGAAAAAGCCATATAAGTGCATGGAGTGTGGAAAGACTTTTAGTCAAAACAGTAATCTTACTTTCCATCATAAAAGAATCCACACAGGGGAGAAGCCCTATAAATGCATGGAGTGTGGAAAGAGTTTTACTACTAGCAGCAGTCTTACTTCCCATAACAGGATCCACACAGGGGAGAAGCCATATAAATGCATGGAGTGTGGAAAGACTTTTAGTCAAAACAGTAATCTTACTTTCCATCATAAAAGAATCCACACAGGGGAGAAGCCCTATAAATGCATGGAGTGTGGAAAGAGTTTTACTACTAGCAGCAGTCTTACTTCCCATAACAGTCAAATTTCCAGCAGTAAGCCATATAAATGCATGGAGTGTGGAAAGAGGTTCAGAAGAAGCAGTCAATTTATTGCCCATAAATGGATCCACACAGGGAAGAAGCCATATAGGTGTATGGAGTGTGGAAAGACTTTTACTCAAAACAGTTCTCTTACTTCTCATAAAAGGACCCACACAGGGGAGAAGCCCTATAAATGCATGGAGTGTGGAAAGGCTTTTAGTGAAAACAGTAATCTTACTTCCCATAAAAGGACCCACACAGGGGAGAAGCCATATAAATGCATGCAGTGTGGAAAAAGCTTTACTACTAGTAGTGATCTTACTTCTCATAACGGGATTCACACAAGGGAGAAACCATATGTGTGGAGCATGGAAGGAGCTTCAGGAGGAGGAATGACCTAATTTCACATATGCAGATCTGTTTCGTTGAGAATCCATGTAAATTTTAGATTCATTTGTTTATATCTATACATTTTCTATTTGTGTACACTGACCTGGAAAAAGAAGATTTATTTGAGTGTTATCCTCACAACCAGCAACCCAAGGGAAATTAATTTACTATTGAAAATAAAAAGGCTGTTTTCATTATGAACTGAATTTTTGAACATACTTTTATTTCAAGTGGCCAATGCTATTGCACACCAATAAGAGAACTTTGTTTATTAAGTTTACGTTTATCCCAGTGTTAGACAGAAACCTTACAAGGTTCGTCTCCCAGCTGGGAATAAACATGGAGGCGGTTGCTTGAAGGAGAGAGAAGAGTTGATTTTCCAGAGCCAGATACACAAGAAGATCAGCTGTGGGGCAGCCACGCTCCGGTTTCCCCAGGAGTTCCTGTATAGGGCAGGTCCTCTTGTTCCTAGAAAGGTGCAAAGGAATGCCAGCCCTCGAGGAATTCTTCAAAAAGGTGATGCCCGGATTTCAAGAGAGGTGAAATTGGTTGGGTCTTTAGAAGGGAGCATTTTGAGGTCAGGTGCCATACTGCACTGGGGTTTCCTGTCGTTCCCTTACCTGGCATGGTCTAATTGGCATCTAGATCCCTTCAGAGAAGAAATCTTCTTACAATTTGATTAAGGCTTCAAGGAATGTTGGCCCTTCCTGCCAGGTGTTTAGTTATTTTATTTTGGATTGGGGTGGAGGACTCTTGATTCTTTCTGTTACGTCTTAATCTTTTTAGGTGAGCCCTTTCTTACTATAGTTTAGTCATATGAGTTTATTGCTGTTCAGATAAATGAAGGTAGGGTGAGACAAATGGGAAACTTTGACTTCCTGCTGACATGATGGGGGGGGAGAGAATTTGATATCCTTCTCACAATCCCTCCTTTTTCTTTTTGTGCAAAAACACTATTTTACAGACAATGAGTTAGGGAATCTTGTAGCTATGCATCATCCTGTAACTCAGATTCGTATTTTTGGCCATTCTGCATCAAGATTAGAGATCCCTGCCTTGGGGAAAGGTGCTGATCTTGCTCTGAAAACAGAAGAGCATCCCCTACAACAACCCAAGCAGGAGGGTAAGCCCGAGCAAAACAGCAAACAAATGTTCCTGTTACCACCAAGCCCATAATTCCCAGGAATGTTGTCTTCAGCCAGGCAAAGTTTGGTAACCAGGAGGTAAGCCGTGAGAAATCAGAGAAGCTCTGACTGTACCCAATGTTGTGAACCAAAGTTTTGAAATCCCGTTTTTTTCCCTGTATCAGTTTGGAATTATCAACGAAATTAAAACAGCACATGCCTTCAGGAAGGAAAGGAAAGTTGAATGCAGGGCAGTCCACCCCTGTGGAGTCTTTGGGGTTCTCTGAGGTTGGTTGTTTTCTCTCAAACGTTTCTTGCTAGCACTGAAGATATAACCCAGCCAGGTAACGAAATGTTTGCAAGGAGACAACCAAGCTCAGAGAGCTCCAAGGACTCCACAGTTCAACCCTGACCCGCACATATTTTCTTTTATTGGTCAGTCCACCCCTGCAAGCTCTCTCTTACGATCAGGGTGCCCAGCCCTCCGCAGGATGCTGTGAGTTTCACTTGAGGGGCCTTACCTGCCCATTGTATGTATTGTAGACAACAGTAAAAGCACATTTAGAGGTTTGGTTGATTATTAGAGAGTGCTCAACTCACAACCACTCTCTCACAAAGTCAAAATAGTCACCAATTTTAGAGTCATTCAGTAGGTTTGTGTCGACAGGGAATGTCCCTTGCCAGTCATGAGAGACAGACATGGAGACCCAACATTTATACTGCTGTTCGGTGATGGCAGTCTGGCAGTCGAAATGTCAGTGAATGCAGCGGGCAGGGTAAGAGGCAGGCGTTTTCAGCCAGCACAGGCAC